CGGAACATCGCACGTAGGAAGTAGACGCTCCGATGCTGCAATAATCCGGAACAAACAGATCCAACAAAAGAGCACAGAAGCTGCTGAACAGATGTAAGTTAAAATACAAGCTGATCCAAATTACACCAGAAAGCTGTAATCTAGTATATTAATCTCTTGCTTTATTGGTATGTAATTTGTCTTAAGAAACACAAGATAAAAATTGCGCATATATATTAAACAGAGTACAAGATATTTGCTCAATGTTAGGAAAGGTAACCGTTTTATTTGCGGAATTTATATATTATATATAATATATACGTTATATATAAATATATATATTTAAATTAATGTATATTTAAAGAATTAGAGAGAGCACGGCTAATATGAATCAAGGACGTAGATGGTATAGCGTGATAAATAAGATTACGTTTCTTAATAATTTTTTCTTAATAAAAGTATTACATGAGATTCACAATTTACAAAGATGTATAACAAAGATATATTCGTCGAGTCAGTTTACTTTTGTAATAATAAAAATTAATTTACATTTAAGTAAAAAGTTGAAAGAAATAAAAGATAAACCGTGGTATTATATTTAATTACTGTGATAGTCCACTTATAAATGAGGAGATTATTAGTCATTTAAAGCCATATTAGCCATGGAGTTCTCACTCTTGGGATCGACAATAAAATCCATTCTTTTCTGAATCGATTTACTTATACGAGTACTTGTATGTATGATATTTTTCATCATTACTTTTGAACATTCTTCTTTGAATTGATTTACCTATATGGTTTGACGCTTTTCATCATCACTTTGGAACATTCTGAAGATGGTTTAAATAAAGAACCGAAACATTAAGTAAACATATACTATATGGTTCAAAAATTTGTTTTATTTATCACATACCATCTGCGTCTTTGACTCGTACTAGCCGTGCTCTCTTTAATTTTTTTAAATTTGCGAGTCCAAATTATTATTATTAATATATATTTAGTTATAATATTATATATACAGTTACAATATTTTATTACTACAATAATACTGGTAGAATTTCGTTGGACTAATATTCAACAACAAATTATTTTCAGATTCCGAGTAAGGAGAGTATCGAGACGCTGTCTGCACTTGAGATTGCGGAACAGATGACATATCTAGATCACCACATATTTATCTCCATCGCTAGCGAGTAAGTAACATATTGCTAAATCATATCGCTGCTGTTTCACTATATAGATATTTACTTTACAGGGAATTCCTTGGGCAAGCGTGGATGAAGACGGATAAGGCAACTCGCGCGCCTCATATTCTTCTCATGACGAAGAGATTCAACGAAGTGTCGCAATTAGTTGTTTCCGAAATTATTCGTCGCTCCAATATGTCGGCCAGAGTCGCGGCTATCGAGAAATGGGCTGCGGTTGCTGATATCAATAGGGTTTTGCATAATTACAACGGCGTACTGCAAATTTGCGCTGCGTTCACAAACAGTAGCGTATATAGGCTGAAGAAAACTTGGGATAAGGTTTCCAAAACGGTACGCTAGTCGAAAATTCCTGAATAATTTTCCAGCAAACGAGAATGGATTAAAATGGATTGAAATTTTTTTCTATCCGAATGCACACATATTTTAAATAGCGAATATTTTTTTTTAGATTTAATTGGATTCAATTGGATTCAATTAGATTCAATTGGATGCAATTGGATTGAAAAACTGCATTTCCTATTCAAAATTTTGAATAGAACAGTATTCACAAGTACAGAAAAAGCTAATATTGTTTTTAGATTGAAAAGCATAGGGATATGCTCCATGCAATTCCTATAAATGAATAAAAATGCATTCAAGATTGAAAAGCATTCATTTTAACATTCGTGAATCAATATTTCTGAAAATCTGAATACATTTCAATTCATTTCAATCCATTCTCGTTTACTGGGTTATAAATCCAACTTCGTACGTAATTCGTTTAGCTCGATAATAATTTGTGTAAAATTCTCCAACGTGTCTGCACTTGTACTTACAACGCACTATAATATATTAAATTAACTCGATTTTTTTGCAAATCATAAATTCCTCAAAATTGTGTCATAATCGAATCGAACCATTTCTAGATATACTTAACATTTGGGAAAAACTACGGAAACAATTACCCTCATTCTTGACGAAAAGAACGATTTTGCTGAAATATCTAAAAAAACTAAC